AAAAAAACACCTTTAAGTAGAGACATCTCAGCCCTTGGAAAAAACCTGAAACAACGATGACAACTATTAACTATCCATTCCATAAAAACATAGCTTGCTCAGAAGAAAAAATGCGAGTTCACTAATAATCTAATTTTCTGTTAAAAGATATCACTAATAAATCACGAGGTACACTATTGAGTAAATCATGCTTCTCACCGGATCAACCTTGTGCAACATACTGCTACCATTCATGACAGTATACTCAGGTTGTTCTCATTCTTTTTGTTTGTTTTGTGTAGTGCGCAGCATTATACATGCTTTTGAATTTGATGAAGCTTAGTTCCACTCCTAGAAATAAGCATGATGAGTTATCTGCATTTACACAGATATTAATAAAATTAAATTATGATTAAAAGGTTGCCCCGAAATATTATAGTTTGTAGGGGATGAATGCATCTGGCGTAATTCAGAGCCTTCCGATCCATGTCCATGATGGCAACATAGGGCTCCAGTTTCTGGTCATGTAGCGGTGTTCTTCTCTATCGATCTGGCACTCTCGTTCTGCTTGTTCGACCCTTGCAGTAGTACCCAGTGGCGGCTGCAGAATTTTGACAGTATTGAACGTAGATAAATCGGTCCAAAATTTAATGATGCACAAATTATTCACTACGAAAAAGAATACTCGTTATCTCTACGATGTGACTAGATAAACCGATTCACCAAATCAATCTGTCCAAAAATTAGGCAAAAAGATTAATTGTGTAGATAAATCGGTCCAAAATTTAATGATGCACAAATTATTCACTACGAAAAAGAATACTCGTTATCTCTATGATGTGATTAGATAAACCGATTCACCAAATCAATCTGTCCAAAAATTAGGCAAAAAGATTAATTGATATTTTGACATACCTCAGCCCTAGCTGGAGCGTTCAGTCTACGATCGTTGTCGTCGGTGTGTGGCGCCTCGCCTGCTGGCTGCTGCTACGTCCTCACCGCTGCCTGCCTGACACCTATTCCTCTAGTTAATGGATACCGGTGCTCTGCTACATGTCCGCCGCCGCCCCGTCGCAGTAGCACCCAGTTGGAAGGCGCAATGTTTCGTTCATGATTTGTGTGAGACGAACTGGCTTTATCCTAGTAAACGGGCCTATTAATGATCAGTGGCGAGATAGTGGATGAAAGGAATATGGGCAGGCCCTCGTTTCGTATGCCACCTACATTTGCTGCGTGCCGCACAACGTGATAACGCACAGCATGTGTGTGAGACACAATGTGGTAGAAGAAGTTGAGGTGACGTGTGTGTGACACAACTTGGTAGAAGAAGTTGAGGTGACGTGGAGGCAGAGAATCCATGTCAACCTGTGGTGGGTCCCTTTTGTAATTCGGTAACGGAGCGCTGATGTGAGTGGACTGCTGATGTGGATAGCTTGCATGTTAAGATAAATAGGATAATGGGGATGAATCTCTTAGGTATATAGAATTACTAGAGCAACAAAAGTCTATCAACTGTCCTTAGTTCACCCTCCGGAATAAGACCAACCATATACATGTCCATAAGGAAAAGGCATGAAAGGCCGCAAAGATTGAAGCCGAGCAAGATGGGCAGAAGCGAGAGGAGCATCATGAGGAGGTCCTCATCGGTCGTTGGAAAGAAGGTGGCGATGTAAAGAACCAAGACGCCGGCGCAGCCCACAAGGAACGTTACTGCCCATCTGCTATGGTCGTCGGCCTCCGGTACTACCAGCTCCAGATCGCCGTCGGCCATCTGCTTCGTGTGCCCTCAATCAATCGATCGATCGATCTATGCTTGGATATTTTCTAGGGTTTGGCCGGTCAGGTTAAGGTCGATGCAGTATTTGTTTGTTGGGATCTCTGCATCCGGCCGGCTGTGCATGCAGAGCCCTCTGATCGGCATCACAGGTACGTACGTATCCACAGCTGGAAAGCAACGGGGATCATTATGTACACTGTTAAAAAAAAAGACGCCGGACCCTTAATTAGGAATCCGCATACTGTGACAACGCCGTGAGAAATTTTCAAAATATTTTTTTTAAAGAACCCACGTATGACGTTGTATGCATCTCCGGAATAGGGCTCTCATCTCACTTCATAAATAAAGCACAAACTAAAGATACACATCCGAATGATACACGGTGTGAGTTAGCCCTCTTACAAAGTAGATACTGAGATAACAAGACCACTGCACGCGACTATGTTAGCGAAGAAAACACATAACAACCTAAATACAACTCCACAAGACGCTTTAGAACACTTAAGCTCCACGATAACGCCCTTGGGAAAGGTAACGGTGCTAAGTGTTATCCCAACCGACCCCAAAGGTCTTCATCCGGAACCCTGACACGAAGAGGAGAACCACGACAGCGTCTTTGAGAATATCAAAGCACCCACATGTGTTGCTGTTGTCGGCGTCACAACACAAAACTTGCGCTCAATATCTCACCCATGCCACCATGAAGCACCCGAAACAACTGTGGCGAGTACAAGTCTCCAGATCCGGATCTAGGCGTCGCTACTGTCGACAACAAATAGCGAGCCTGAGCCACCCACTACTACACCCCTCGCCATTCGGACGACCAAGTGGCATAGTCACTACCACCGGCATGGTGCCCACAGGAGAGCCACCATGCGAACCACCAACCCGGATGCCACATCGGCATTCATGTCCCAAGCCACTGCCAACCATCAACATCACAACGCACCGACCATGGTAGGAAGAGTGGAAGACCCATCCTTTCACTCCTAGCCTGGCACCAGCCACCGGGTCCGGGTTAATTCCTCCATAGAGGTGTGCTCTCAGCCATTTCGCCACGTGTCGCGCTTTGGACGCTTCCTTTGGATTTTTTTTATTTTTTTTTCGCACGCGTTTTTGGCTTTTTAAATGGTTTTTTCTGGGGTTTTTCGACGTTTTAGTTTTTCCCCGGTCTTTCTTAGCTTTTCGATCAAAAAAATTTTAAAAAAAAATTTGCGCGAAAAATGCGTTTTCTTTTATTTTTCTTTCGCGAAAGTCATGGTTTTTCTTCCGCGAGAGGCACGGTTTGTGCTTTAGCGAGAGTCACGGCCATGCCTTTCGGAAACGAAAAAAAAAACCGCGTTTTCTGTTTTTTTTTCTTTCGCGAGAGTCACGGTTTTGCTTCCGCGAGAGGCACGGTTGTGCTTTTGCGAG